ACTCTGTCTCTGGTGAATTCTCCCCCACCTCTGCCCAACAACGCAGCTCTTGTATACATAAATAAATAAAATAGATCTTAAAAGAAAACTAGAAACGATGAGGTCCATCGGTGGAGGACTGTGGGAGCTTTGGTGGTGGGAGAGCTATGGTGACTGCACCTGAGAGGAGAAATCCTACACTGTCAAGATACTGACAAGGACATAAAACAATGGTACTTATTCAAAGAATTAAATAAAAATTTGAGGTTAGTCTGTATGCAGTGACATTGGAAAACACTTTAAAAAAATATAAGGGGGTCTCCCTGGTGGCACAGTGGGTTAAAGCACAGCACTGAGAAGCTCAAGCCACTTCCGCATGAGTTCGATCCCCGCCTGCCCCGGAGGTGACCACATGGCGCGGCAGACCTCTCCTGGCCTGCCCGCTGCTCCCCTCAGCAGTGTACTTCGTCGATCTGCCTGGTCTTCTCCCCACTCTGTCTCTGATGAATCCTCTCAACCTCCGCATCTCTGGCCTGTACCCCAGTTCTGTATGAATAAATAAATCTTAAAAAAAGATATAAGGGACAAAATAGCATAAGTAGTATCCTATCATTTATATCCACAAAAGGTTATCTCTACTCTTTGGATTGACACACAAGACACTGAAAACTGTAACTGCCCCTGGGGAAGGGACCTGAGAATTGGAGGTTAGAGAAGGAGTTTTTTAATTTTCACTGTATATCTTTTTGTTGCATTTACTTTTTACTATACACATAAATTACAAAAGCAAACTTATAAACAAGAGATCAGACTACTGAACAGTAGCAAATACTGTTGAAAAGCCAAAGAAGATATACAGACTGAGATAGATATCATTAGACATATTTAGTTGTTAACTAAAACAGTAAGTTCAGTGGAGTCATTTGGTATTGAGAGAGTTGCATTCTTAGGAATACCACTTTAGCCCAGGGGGTGTGGGCTATAGTTAAAAAGAGGAATGCTTTTTTTTTTTTTACAATTCAATGCTTTTTAGTATATTTAGAGTCGTGCTATAATTACGACTGACTTCATAACACTTTCATGACTCCATAACCATCAGTTGCTCCTTATTTTCTCATCTTCTAGCTGACGATAACCACCATCATTTTCTGATTTTATGGATTTCCTTGGACATATCATACAAATGGAATAATAAAATACCTGGCTTGTTATATCTGGCTTCTTTCACTTCTCATAATGTTTCCAAGTTCATCCACATAAAATCCATATGTTGGAATCTGCTTCTTTTTAAAGACTGAATAATATTCCATTGTATGGATATGTCACATCTTATTTCATTGAGAGTAAGACATTTGCTGTTTCCATATTTTGACTATTTTGAATAATGCTGTTATGAACTTTTGTGGACACATTGTGTGTATGTATGTTTTCCTTTCTCTTTGATAGGTACCTTAGAATTGGATTGCTGGGTTGTATGGCAACTCCATTTTTAATATTTGGAGGAACTATTACAAGATTTTTCATGATGGCAGCAACAAATTACCTTTCCACCAGCAATGCATGACCATTCCAATTTTTCTACTTTCTTGCCAATAATTGTTATATTTTATAATAGCCACCTCCATGAGTGTGACGTGGAATCTCACTGTGATTTTTCTTCCATCCCTCTGATTGACTCAAAAAATATAACACTCATCACTGATTCAGTTCACAATATTAGCCCTCTTCAAGCAGCCACACCATCACTAGCCAACATTTTGTGGTCATTCCAGAGTCTCAGAGCAATAAGCCACAACTCGGCCCTCCAGGAGCTTACAGTAGAGCTGGAGAAAAATCAAACATCCAGAACAGAATTTTGCATTGCTATCCTAACAGCAGTTACTGGCATAAGTCAGTCATCGCATGTTTTAACAAATGAGCAAATAGACACTTTATCAAGTTCCAACTTGACATATTAAAAGAATAACTGTGCTCATTTATGTTTCAACTCAATGGAATTAAAAGAGAAAAACATAATTCTAAACCAAATGTACCCCCTGGTTTGCTGTCCCATATTAACGTATGGATGTTCATGTCCCAGAATTTCTCCATGGTTCCACCTCCAGATGTCAAGGTCTGTAATTTAGATCTCCAAACCCACATACAAATTCATGGGGGACACAACTTTCTCAAGGTCCATATTATGGAGCTGGAAGTGGTAGTCTTCAGTGCCCACTGGAATCTTTCATGTGAGGTTGGTCGGAAGCAATGTTAATAAAATATGAATCATTTTCAAATTTCTTTTTAAACTGTGGATGGATGTTCTTTTTAGACATAAAATGGTGGGATTTATTGGCCACATGCATTAGATCACACATGTTTCGTGGGATGTGTGTGTGTGGACTATATGTATTCAATATATACTTACACATACCTTTCTCTAGTTGTGGGACAGTCAATCATTGATTTTAGCTGGAACAGGCAATTGGCAGTAGGATGTGACAGAAAGACAAACTGCTGAGGGATTTGTGACTGACAAGGTGGAAGAAATCTTGGGATTGAAGGTGAGCTATGTATGGGTGATATTGTAATGAAAACAGCATGGGAGAAGTTTTTCCACTAGGAGAGGTGAGTGAATAGTAGGGATAATATTCATGTACAGGCACAGGAAGCAAGGCAAAACTCTTTATCATTCAGCAGATTGATAGGAAATCATATAAGATTTCCACAGAGGATATAATTCTGCTATATTCCAGTCAGCAAAGAGAAAGCAGTTTAAAGTCAATTTTATAAGCTCAGGTTCCATAAAAAAAGAAATAAAACAGTAAGCCAAGTTGACACAGTGCTAACTTTTTGAATATAGAAAATATTTTATGGAAAGGCTGATTTCCATAAAATAAGTAACTTAAGAGAAAAAAATTAAGAGCGGGTATAATAAAAGTTCTGCATATTATATTTGAATGAAATGATAATGGCAGCTTAATCCAACTTGGAGCAGATAGGATCGCCCATGATGGATACTGACTGGCACTTCAGGGTGAGTTCTTAGGAAACCAGCAGACAGTGTTTGTGGAGGGAGTTCAAAGCCCACACTCAGATACAATCACTCTCTCTGCTTGTGGCTGAACGTACGCGAGAATAAAATAAAACAGCTAAGTTTTATTGGGCTACAAAAGTCTGAAGACATCCCAGGGCCTGATTTTAAAAATACCACACTGAAGAGAACCTGCCCCTGGGCACTGAGGCTGGCTGTTTTCTGACAGCAGGTCATGTCAGAATTACAAATTGAGACACTGTCTGTATTATGGCTGCTAGAGGGGAACCTCTTCTCCAACTGGCCCTAAGTAATGCTCAAAGAAATAAAGCAGGAAATCACTCTAGCAGAAATTACTATACAGAAGCACTTTTAAAGACAGGACTTTTTTAGATGTCATGGATGAAAAGTAATCAAAACAGCTGTCTACATAGTCAGGGTTTGGAATTCAGTTTTGACCAGAATTAGGCAGAAAAAGTCAACAGACATATTATTTGGATGGCCAGGTTTAGTCTTTGTTGATCTTCTGAAACAGCTGGGGTGAACCAGCTAAATTATTTTGACAACTCTGAACATTTTTTTTTTTTTTTGCTTTAGGGTAAGAACTGATTTCTTTGCAGATAGACTTGACTGGCATCCAGGAAAAGGCATAGATTAAAAATATAATGGGGCTGTAAAATCCAGAATGGTAAGTATGACTTCCAAAAATGAGTTTTAAAAATGAAATTGTAATACCTATACAAAGTAGAAATTTCAAAGGGTATAGGTGAAAAGAAAGTCACATTCTGAAAGAGCAATCACTTATTTCTAGTTTCTTGTATATCCCTATAGAAAAATTCTATACATATGTGCACACATATTCTTTAAAAAAGATGGCTTGGAATATATGTTGTGCTTTTGCTAAACAATACCTCTAGGAAGATTTTTTCCCTAGTATTAGACATAAAGCAACCCCACTCTACCAACTGTATACCAGTCTCCAGTAAGGAAGCACTCTAATTTATCAATCAATACTCTATGTATGGTTATTCGTTTTCTAGCTGATTACTTTCTTTTAAAAAATTATTTATTTTTGTATCATTGTTCATTTTGTGCCCTTTTCCATCTCAGTTTTAATGCCTGTGGACTTCCCACCACCACTATGGAAAACTGGAGGTTTCTCAAACTGCTAACATGGAGCTTCCATATGACCCAGCAATCCCACTCCTGGGTATCTACCCAAAGGACACAAAAACACTGATTCAAAAGGACACCTGCACCCCCATGTTTATTGCTGTTTACTTTCTTAAACAATGCTACAGCATGATATCTTTTCACAAGTCTTCATGCACAAGTACAAATATAAGGAGAAATTTCAAAGGCATGAACTCATTGGGTCAAGAGACCTAGAGCTACTTAAAATTTTGCAAAAGTCCACTGGACAAAGGCATGTGGCCAGTAAATAGTGACATTGCCACCAACTGTGTATGAGAGTGCCTGCTTCTCTATAATCTTGTCTAGGTAGTGCATTTCTAAAAATTTGCTAATTTAAAAGAGAAAACCATTTTCACTTGCTTTGAAAGCATTTTGCGTAGGGTTAGGAACTACTGTTTTGTAAATCTGATAGATTCGTGATGAAACTGAGCATTTTCCAGACGACAGCTGATGTGGCTCTCTTTCAGGAGAGGGGTCTCACGGAATGGGAGTGAAAGTCAGTTCATAGGGTCCTCGCATAATATACAGCAATGAACTATTTTAACAAGAAACAGTTTCATAGATAGGTTTCATTTCTTGAAAAAAGGGGAAGGAGTGCCTTCTGTGAGTCAGTGTGGGTTTGTCAGTTACTGCCTCCCCCCTTTCTGGGACTTCCCACTGTTCTTTCGCATTAATCAGACTTGAGCAAAACAACTCTTTTTCCATAGGATCAGTTATAAAAGAATGACAAAGGAGTGAGCAGCTAAGCTTTTTTGGTTTCATCAGTGAAAGACAGACTCACCCGAGGCTTGCAAACATTTCTGGAAAAAGCACTGGCTGGTTTATTCTTCTCTATATGGTCAACGGTTGTGTTTCTGCAGGACCAAAGGAGTACCCTGGTTAGTGAAGGTAAGAACAAGGTCCTATCATTGCTATTTTTTTCTGTTATTTCCCTCTTTACCTTTTCTTGATCCTATCTCATCAGAACTCAGATCCCAACCTTATGGCATCTAAAGCACTTTCCTAATTTATCAAATCAAAGGTGAGTGGCCACTCAAACAAACATTTTGTGCAGTTGGAAAATAGAGACCAAGCAAACACTCCTTCTTATCTCCTTGTGTTCAAAAATCTTTGACAAGTCTGGCCAAGTAATTTGTTGTGGAATTTTTTCAGTTCTCCTTCCGTAACCGCTACATAGGTTTAGCATTTGTGTTTTTTAAAAGAAGCCCCGAAAAGCCTATGCAGAATTTTGCAAAGAAGGTATAATTCAGTGACAGTGAATTTGTGTTAGAGATGAATATAATCGCAGTAGACTCTTACTGAATTTGACTCAAACTGATTCAGTGAGTTTAAGTTTCTCTGTGTGATACGACATGTTGAACTGTAGAGGACCTACAGTGATGACGCACAGGCGGGCTTTAGTTTGAGTTGTCTGTAGACCTGCTCAAAATTTTTAATCTATTGCTTCTCTCCCCCTCCTTGAATAACAAACTACTTTGGCCAGAATAGTCATAGTTTTAGAACATTTCTAGTGTTGGTCAGTGTAAGAAAACAGTATTTCTGAGCTTCCTGTATGAATGGAGGGTACTTAAAATTTGTGTTAAACATTCAATTGTAATAACAGCAATTTGGATGATATACAAAGGCGGTGCACTAACTTCATTATCTAGAGCAAAATGACGTTTTAAATAGTCATTTCAAATTACTGAAACATTTCTAATCACAAAACTAATGTTTATTTTAGACATGTAAGATATTACCTCGCTAGGCTTTTAGCAAACAGAATAGAATATAATGTTCCGTTATTAACTAAATATAGTGCCTTAATTAATTATAGTTTTTCCTCTCCCATTTCCATTTTGAAAAGTTTCAGACCTACATAAAAACTGAAATAGTACAATGAACACCCATTTTTCCACCATGCAAATTAATCTATTAATCTTTTTTACCCTTACTTTCTTTCTCTCCATGCACACACATGCATGCAGCTTTTTTTTCTATCCCATTTGAAAATACCCTGTTGCCCTTAGAGCACATGTAACCCACAAATTCTTGAGCAGGTATTTCTGAAAAATAAGGGCAGTCTTCTATTTGATGATAATGTTAAGGAAATTTAATATCAATACAGTACTACTAAGTGAATATATTATCTACATTCAAATTTTCCCAATCATTCAAGTGTGTTTTAGAGTGTTTTTAAAAAAGATTTATTTATTTATGCATACAGAACTGGGGTACAGGCCAGAGATGTGGAGGGTGAGAGGATTCACCAGAGACAGAGAGGGGAGCAGAA